AGAAACAAATCCAAAGACAGGCAAGAGAGTCAGAGACAGCCCTACTTCCACTGATAGGGACCCACGTGTTGACCATACCACACAGCTGCTACAAATTTCTATAGGGGGCCTAGATCCAGCCTCTGCATGCACTTTGCATGATGTTTCAGTCTCTGTGTGACCCCAAGGGACTCTGTAGCTCATCTTGTGGTGTTCTTGACCCTGCTGGCTCCCTCAGTCATTCCTCACTCTCTTTCCCCTATCTCTCCAATTGTTTTGTTGTGGGTCTCTGCATCTGTTTCCATCAGCTGCTAGATGAAGCCTCTCAGAAGACAGATATGCTAGGCTCCTGTCTGCAAGCACAACAGAGTGTCATTAATAATGTTGGAGGCTTGTTCTGTCCCACAGGGTGGTTCTCAAGTTGGGCCAGTCGTTGCTTTGCCATTCCCTCAATCTCTGCTCCATCTTTATGGCTTCACTTCTTGTAGGTGAGACACATTTTGGGGTGAAAGTTTTATGAGTGGTTTGGTGTCCCCCTCCCTCCTCTGGAAGCCCAATCGGGCTACACAAAGTGATGACTTCAGGTTCTATATCCTTTAGGAGTCTCAGCTAGGATCAACCCCACAGCCTCCAGGGAGCTTCCTATGTCTCAGATACTCCCCAACCCAACAGTTTTCATTTTCACAAAAGATCCTGCCACTCCCACACTCACCCACCTGCTCTCTCCACACCCCATCCCCTCCCCCATTATCAGCCCTACCCCATCTCCCACCCAGGTCCCTCCCTCTGTATACTTTGGATGTCTATTTTATTTCCCCTTCTGAGTGAGATTCAAATGTCCTCCCTTGGCCTCCTTGGCTTCTTGGGTCTGTAGACTGTAGCATAGTTATCCTGTACTTTATGACTAATACCCAATTACAAGTGAGTACATCCATGTGTGTCTTTCTGGGTCTGGCTTACCTCATTCAGGATCATCTTTTCAAGTTTCATCCATTTGCCTACAAATTGCATCACACTGTTGTTTTAAATAGTGAGTAGTATTCCATTGTGTAAAGGTACCACATTTTCTTCGTCAATTCTTCAGTTGAGGGATATCTAGGTTGTCTCCAGTTTCTTTTTTTTAATTTTAAATTCATATTTTTTTTAGTAATTATAGTTTTTTCACTTTGTATCCCAACTGTTGTGCCCCCCCAGCCCCTCCCAAACTCACACTCCCTCCCTCTTCTACACCATAGCCCCTCCCCAAGTATATTTATAGGGGATGTCCTCCACCCCTACAGTCTGACCCTATTCTATCAAGTTTCATCAGGACTGGCTGCATTGTCTTCCTCTGTGGCCTGATAGGGCAACACCACCTCAGGAGAGGTGATCAAAGAGGAGGCCGTTGAGTGCATGTCAGAAACAGTCCTTGTTCCCAATATTAGAGAACCACCTTGGAAACTGAGCTGCCATGGTCTACATCTGTCCAGGGATGTAGGTTATCTCCATGAATTGTGCTTGGTTGGAGTATGAGTCTCAGAAAAGTTCCCTGTGCCCACATTTCTTTATTTCTCCTTGTAGAGATCATATCCCCTCCAGGTTTTTCTATCTCCTCCTTCTTTCAGGAGATTCCCTGCACTCTGCACAAAATTTGGCTATGAGTCATAGTATCTGCTTTGATAACCTGCTGGGTAGAGTCTTTTAGAGGCCCTCTGTGGTAAGTTCCTGTCCTGTTCCCTGTTTTCTCCCTGTTCTGATGTCCATTCTATTTGCCTTTCTGAATGAGGATTGATCATCTTACCAGGGTCCTCCCTCTTGATTAGCTTCTTTAAGTATACAGATTTTAGTATGATTATCCTATATTGTATGTCTAATATCCACTAATAAGTAAGTATATACCATGTGTGTCTTTCTGCTTCTGGGATACCTCAATCAGGATGATCTTTTCCCACCATTTGCCTGCAAATTTCATGATTTTCTTCTTTTTAATTGCTGAGTAGTATTCCATTGTGTAAATGTACCACAATGTCTATATCCATTCCTCAGCTGAGGGACATCTGGGTTGTTTCCAGCTTCTGGTTGTTACAAATAAAGGTACTACAAACATCCAGCTTCTATTATGAGTAAAGCACATCGGATGTTTGCTGAAAATGATTGGAAATGTGTTATTGGATATGATTTGAAATATATTATTGCAGCTGTTTTTTCCTTTTTTCAAACTGATGTTTTTGAAAATATTTAGTGACTTTAAAGGTCACAATATATACTCTATGACTTAAACCTATGCTTGCACTTATAGTTATGTCTAATACAGTACACATGCAGTTTGCTTATGTAAAATATTTATTTTTCTAATTTTCAATGCAAGTGTTTCTTTACCTATGAAGTAATTTTCTCATAAGGTAGCATCTCATGTTTAGATGTTTTGTTGATTTAGGCAGTATATACTTATACATATACATATACACATACATATACATAATAAATTATTAATTCCATGTTATTCACTTTATATTCCCCCTGTGGTTCCCTCCCTTCTCCCATTCCAATCCCTCTCTTCCTCCACCCTCTGCATGCATGCCCTTCCCCAAGTCCACTGATAGGGGAGGTCTCCTATTCCTTCCTCCTGATCCTAGTCAATTAGATCTCATCAGGAGTGGCTGCATTGTCATCCTCTGTCGCCTGGTAATACTGCTTCCCCCTTGGGGGAAGTAATTAAAGAGCAGGCTAATCAGTTCATGTCAGAGACAGTCCCTGTTCCTATTACAATGGAACCCACTTGGATACTGAACTGCCATGGGCTATATCTGTGTAGGGATCTTGGTTATCTCCATGCGTAGTCCTTGGTTGGAGTATCAGTCTCAGGAAAGACCCCTGTGCTCTGATTTTTTGGTTCAGGAATTTCACCTGTTAACACCCAAGCTCATTATTTATAATTAAAGCTATCCCTCTGTAATTCATTTATTTTATTTCTTCTTTTATATATCTATGGTTCCTTTTTTTCTCATATTGTTCTTTTTTTGTAAGTTGGTGGTTTTCTCATTGCTACCTTGACTGGTAAAGGCAATACTGAAATAAATATTTGAATATATCTATGAGTAAATTTTCAGAAAAGATTACTTTCTCAGTTCTCCTTGCTTGCCATGCTGAATACTACTCCTTCCTATCAGGGGATAAAATACATGTGTAATAACAAAATTTGATTTTGGCAAAGGACTTTGTCAGTGTGATGAAAAATACAGGTGGCTTTTGTGATTAAATAATTTCTACAAGGGATGCATCCTACAGTGGTTTGAAAGTTTGTAGCTTCAGTATAATATGAGAGCAAACAAGAACACAGGCAAATCACATGTCAGTGTCCAAGGGCTTCATGGGCAAACGGAAACATTGGGGAATCTCAGAAATGGTAGGTATGGTGTTTCCTGAAGAGGAGGGAATGCAGCTTTACCTGCTCATCTACTCAGGGGATTTGTGCACTAAGATTCTAAGAATAAACCTCCCAGCTACACGTTGGGCCTAGGGAAGGCTCATGGATAGATAGGCTGAACCAAATATGAAGGAGAAGTTTCTCATTTCTTTGGAAACCCAGTTGTGTCGTGTAAATACAGATTTTGTTTGGGTTCCAAGTGTGGGAAGTGAGAATGTCTTTCCTCTGTGGAAAACTGCCCTGTGAGAAGGCATTCAATGTTTGTCAGCTGGAAACTATCTGAATCAAGGGAGTTTTCCCACTTTGGTGTACTGATGTAGTTTAGGTGGAGTCTTACTGTTTGGCTGAGTGGTACCACCTCTGCTGCTGCTGCTGCTGCTGCTGCTGCTACTTGTTTGCTGCTGCTGTGGTTTGCTGCTTTGCTGTTTGTCTGGACTGCTGATATTCTGACTACTGAGATTGGTATATCCCCAAAGAGCCCAAGGATTCTAGTCAGGTGGAAGTAAGAAAAAGAGGTAAAGATACCCTTTTCCTATTAATCTCCTACCTAAGGTCAGGGTATGGGAAGGGAGGGAGAGGTGTTTAAGAGCATCAAGTAAACTAGGTGTTTGAAAAATCTAAGTCCACACAACTAGCTGCCTTCAGCAAAGCTTAGCAACAAGTACTACTCAGGCCTGTCTCTTTGGCTGTTTTCCTGGCAACCGTGATTGGCAGAAACTCTTACCTATCTGATTCCCAGGGTTTCTATCAGTAAGACACACTGTCAAGCTTATTTAGAAATTGTATGTAAGTAAATACATTAATCAACATTCTCTTTTTCATGCCTCTTTCATATCTTTATTTTTTTAAATCAGGTTTAAATTTTTTAACTTTTATTTTTATTAATTACAATTTATTCACTTTGTATATCCCCCGTAGCTCCTTCCCTCCTCCCTTCCCAACCCAAACTTGCCTTCCTCTTCTCCACCTTCCTCTTCTCCCCTACCCCAGTCCACCTATAGGGGAGGGCTTCTTCCCCTTTCTTCTGACCCTAGTCTATCAGGTCTCATCAGGATGCATTATCTTGCTCTGCATCCTGGTAAGGCTGCTCCCCATTTAGGGGGAGGTGATCAAAGAGCAGGCCAGTCAGTTCATGCTGATACTGCAACCAAGGACCATTCATGGAGATAACCTAGAACCCCTGCACAAATGTAGCCCATGGCAGATCAGTGTCCATAGTAATAGGAACAGGGACTGTCTCTGACATTAATCAACCTTCTTACAAAATGTTCTTGAAAATGATATCCACAAACACTGACAAGCTCTGTAGTTACTACATCTTAGGCTCTAGTTGAGAAAGAAAGTCAGACTCACATCTCACTAACAAGTGTTCTTTCCACTTTTCAGATCTTTTGCAAACAGAAGAGTTATACACTCAGGACATGATTACTAATTTCACTTCATTACAAAACATGTGACATTAAACACACACATGCAAATATTAAAAAGTTAAAAATTTTCTTTAACTACCTTCCTCAGCCTACAAATTAATTAAGTATATTTGCTTTAAACAACTCAGGTTACATTTTAACTCATTGCTCTTTTCTGTTTAGACATGAGGGCAAACAGTGACAGAAGGGAAGACACTCTGAACAGAGGACTGTGCTCTCCCAGGATGCCTGTGAAGTGGGTGTCTGCCCTGCTCCTGCTGCAGATGAGTTGCTGCTTCAGATCTGCTAACTGTGGGAAGGTGTTGGTGTGGCCTATGGAATACAGTCACTGGATGAATTTAAAGATAATACTGGATGAACTTGTACAGAGGGGTCATGAAGTGACTGTTCTGAGACCATCAGCTTCCATTTTGCTTGATCCTGAAAAATCGCCTGGCCTTAAATTTGAAACATTTTCTACAACTATCAGTAAAGATGATCTGGAAAATTTTTTCACAAAGATTGTGACTATGTGGACTTATGAGCTGCCAAGAGATACATGTTTATCATATTCTCCTTTGCTACAAAATATTTTTACAGAATATTCTGCTTATTATCAAAGTCTTTGTAAAGACACAGTTTCAAACAAACAGCTTATGGCAAAACTGCAGAAATCCAAGTTTGATGTCCTGATCTCAGATGCGATTGCTCCCTGTGGGGAACTGATAGCTGAACTGCTCCATCTTCCTTTTCTGTACAGTCTTCGTTTCACTCCAGGCTACACATTGGAAAAGTACAATGGAGGATTTGTGCTCCCTCCCTCTTATGTACCTATGATTTTGTCAGGACTAGGTGGCCAAATGACATTCTTAGAGAGGGTGAAAAATATGATATGTATGCTTTATTTTGACTTTTGGTTCCAGACATTTGATGAGAAGAAATGGGATCAGTTCTACAGTGAAACTTTGGGTAAGTTATGTTTCTCATCAATAACCTAGGACCTAACTTTCACATGCATTTAAAGCTATCTGTCCATGAAATACAAAGTGAGGTTTTCTTTTCTAGGTGGTCAAATATAATACAATATTGGCTAAGAAACTCTGAAACATTCTGCTAAAGCTCATTTTATTGATCAAATGGAAGAAGGCAGGAGACCTGATATAGGGCATTCTGGTCACGTATACAATTGCAAAGAGACACAGTAGACTTTCTCTATGGGATTCTTTACTCCTTTTCCTGTAATTTAACCTCTATCTTAATAGGTCACTAGCTAGTTACCCAAATCTTCATTAGCGTAGAGTAAAGAATGATATATTTAATGGAATAAACATGCATATATAACATTGAAGAAATTATTTTCTCTTGCGTAGGGCTATGCTTTATTTAAAACTAAAATGTAGGTTTTGGAAGCATCCTAGCTCTCACCCATGTCCAGGGACTCAAAATTGCCTCTCTGTTCAGCTTCAGAGGCCCTGCTGCCCTTGTATGGTATCCACAGGCACCTAAATTTGCTGATCTTATACTCACACAGATACAATACACATAAATAAGAGGATAGATTATAAATATTTTTCATGGGTTACCAAAGAATTTCCCTAATTTTGAAATATACTGCGTTAGTTCACAGGGTTAAAAATGGAACTGAGGCTTCTACCAACCTCACATTTCTTGATTGTATCCTTTTCTAGTATCCATTGAAAAAATATCTAAATTCTATAGAAACATGGACACACAGTCATTCAGTCGCTATTTTTCACGTCATGTTCATTCTTTTAAAAAATAAATCTCTCATCATAATTCTAAAAATATTGTGACTTTTTGCATGATAAGTGACATGGAATTTCTTAGTATGAAACAAGAATAGAAGCACTTATATGTGAGTATATACTGTGTAAGTCTTTCTGCTTCTGGGATACCTCACTCAGGATGATTTTTTTTAATTATTTTATATTAACTACAGTTTGCTTACTTTGCATCCCAGCTGTAGCCCCCCTCCTCATTCCCTCCCAACCCTACCCTCCCTCATCTCCTTCCTGCCCCTCTCTAAGTCCACTGACAGGGGAGATCTTCCTCCCCTTCCATCTGATCTTAGCTTATCAGGTCTCTTCTGGAGTGGCTGCATTGTCCTCTTCTGTGGCCTAGCAAGGCTGCTCCTCCCTCTGGGTTGGGAGGAAAAGAGTCAGCCACTGAGTCCATGTCCAAGACAGTCTCTGTTCCCCTAACTAGGGAACCCACTTGGAGACTGAGCTGCAATGAACTATATATGTGCAGGGGTTTATGGTATATACTCACATATAAGTGGATACTAGATCTATAATACAGATTATATAATATAATCTATAAAACTTACTAAAACCTGTACAACCAAAGAAGTTAAGCAAGAAGTTCCCTGGGTAAAATGATCAATCCTCACTCACAAAGAGAAATGGGATGAACATTGGAAGGAGAAAACAGGAAACAGGACAGGAGCCTACCACAGAGGGCCTCTGAAAAACTCTACCCAGCAGTGTATTAAAGAAGATGCTGAGACTCTTTAACCAAAATTGGGGCAGAGTGCAGGTAATCCTATGAAAGAAGGGAGAGTTAATGGGAACTGGAGAGGACAGGAGCTCCAAAAGGGGAACAACAGAACCAAAATATCTGGGCATAGGGTCTTTTCTGAGACCGATACTCTAACCAAGGACCTTCATGGATATAACCTAGAACCCTGCTCAGTTGGATCCCATGACACCACAATACCCAAGCTGGTTCCCTCGTAAGGGAAACAGGGACTGTCTCTGATATGAACTCAGTGGTGGGCCCTTTGATCTCCCCCTTCCACCAAGGGGGGAGCAGCCTTTCCAGGCCACAAAAGAGGACACTACAGCCAGTCCTATTGAAACCTCATAGGCTAGAGTCAGATGAAAAGGGAGGAGGATCTCCCCTATTGGTGGACTTAGAGAAGGGAATGGGAGGAGATGAGGGAGAGGGTGGGATTGGGAGGAAATGAGAAAGTGGGCTACAGCTGGGATACAAAGTGAATAAACTGTAATTAATATAAAAAAATAAACATTTAATTAAAAAAAAAGATTAGAAGCACTAAGCGTACATTCAACCATTCATAAACTTGCTGCTGCCTTGGCAAAACCAGCAAAAAGGACTACTTACAAACTACACTGTCCCTGATGAAATCTGTCCTGGGTAAACAGCATGGTTTGTGTTTTGAACCTGGAATGTGTATATGCATTTGCAATGGTCCTTCTGAAACTTAGATAGAAGTAAAACTTGTGCTTATTGTTACAGTGGTTTAGTGGATCATTTCAAATTATCGTGAAAACATAAGGTGATTCTTATAGTTTCCATTAAAATTAAACCAAACTGACATTTATGTATATTATATGAGCTTCAAATCTATTATACATGCAAATTATGTTACATATAAATAAACATTGGGTTTATTTATTTATTTATTTATTTATTTATTTATTTATTTAAATGCACATGCTCTAATCAAAGAAAAATTCTTCCAACATCTCTACGAAAACATATTTTATATTCAGATGACAATCCCTTCTCATTTGCTCATCTTCTCCATCTAGGAAGGCCCACCACCTTATCTGAAACAGTCAGCAAAGCAGAAATGTGGCTCATTAGGTCCTACTGGGATTTGGAATTTCCTCACCCGACCTTACCAAATGCTGACTATGTTGGAGGACTCCACTGCAAACCTGCTAAACCCTTGCCTGAGGTAAGTACAATTTTTTTAATTTCTTTTGTTTTTTGATTTCACTTGTGCTGAAAGTGATTCTACACCTTTCACTACATTTTCTCCCAGTGACAGAGTTATATAGGAATCAAGCACACTGCTAACTAGCAGCTCAGTGAACTCAAGAGAGAACATGAGAGACATAGGAAATGTACATATCATTTGAGTTAAACAAAGTCAGGTAAGGTACTTGGGTGGTTAGTCGCCGGGTAAGGTTATTACCAAGCAACCCAGAGGATGTGAGTTTGAATCTCCAACACCCATGTAATAAGTTGGGTATCCTGGCATGGTAAGTATGACTTTAGTCCTGAGATGGCAAAAACAGGGTAAGACCAACAGCTTGATGGCTATTAATCTGTTAAGAATGGTGGGATTCATGTTCAATTAGAGACAGAATCAAAAATATATATTAAAGATTGATAGGGAAAGACTCTCGATTTTGACCTTTGGATTCATGTGCGAAAACAAAGACAGGGATTCTCTCCAATACCACCACCTCTCAACATACTTACAAAAACATACACACAAGTCCATGCATAGACACACAGAAGACAAACAAATTCAGTTAGTTAAACTGGATGAGAAACTGTCATTTATTCAAAAGTGGTGACTAGTGTATATCAGAGGTAATGGTTTGATATCAAATGAAACAATATAGACACAGTTTCAGCTCTAAGCAGTAGATTGTGGAGGTAATGGTACATGTTTTCAGTGCAGTTATGATTATTTTGCAAAAGAAAACATTTTATTGATCATAGTTGGAAATGTTTATTAACTACATGTATGTATATACTACAATAAAGATACTATTTCATCAAACGTTAGTTAATAATATTAAATGAACCATCATAGAGAACAAAAAATACTAAGGAAAAAATACACTCTACTTAGAATGAGAAAATGTAAATGAGCTACAATTTAATGACTACATCATACATAGTATACTTTTACTTTTGCGTTTTCATTTTGCCAGACCAAAATATTTAGTAGGTGGTTGAATTATGTGTGAGTACACTTGGAACTGCTGCCTGTGACGTTCAAAGTGTTTGACCTTGCTATTTTTGTCTTCTGCATTTTTAACAGCAGTATTCTAAAACTTCCTAGGAACACTTCAATTTTTATTCTAGTTATTTTCATAAAAATTTACACAAGTGATTTCTCTTCAGTTGTTACTTTGTGATGAGGCAGGTTCTTTCTTAACAGGAAATGGAAGACTTTGTCCAGAGCTCTGGAGAGCATGGGGTTGTGCTGTTCTCTTTGGGGTCCATGGTCAGTAACATGACAGAAGAAATGGCCAACACAATTGCATGGGCCCTTGCCCAGATTCCACAAAAGGTGAGATAAAGTCCCCTCATTGGAGGCAACTCTATAAATGTCCTTCAAAGGTCTGATTACAGTGGGAACAGGGACATGAACTGATTGGCCTGCTCTTTGATCACCTTCCCCTGAGAGGAGAGCAGCCTTACCAGGCCATAGGGGAAGACAATGCAGCCACTCCTGATGAGATCTGATAGATTAGGATCAGAAGGAAGGAGAGGAAGACCTCCCCTATCAGTGGACTTGGGGAGGGGCATGTGTAGAGAAGGGGGAGGGAAGGTGAATTTGGGAGGGGAGGAGGGAGCGGTTTATGGAGGGATATAAAGTGAATAAAGTGTAATTGATAAAAATTAAAATAAAAAAGTTCTTTAAAAAAATAAATGACAAAAAAGGGTCTGATTACAAAAATTATTGGTGAAAGGTAAAGTTTTAGGTTATCTATAATTTACATTAACCAATTTAGAAACAGATATGCATAACAAACCTTACAATATATACAAGTTTTCCAGAAGTTGTTTTTGACCTAGAATATCTTGTATATAAACATTGTGATCTCTGTGGGCACATTCTGAAATGCTGGTGTGAGAGGACCTTGCTCTTCAGAGTCACTAGTTACGATTGTTGATTATTTAAACTCAATGCATACATAAAAGTTTTGGTGGGATTATTCACATTTATTTTATTTTCTAGCCGAATAATATTATGCAGGTATTGAAACTGTCTGAAATGTATCATGGCTCTGCTCTGCATCCTAATTTTGAAGCAGGCCTGTTCAATGTGTAGTTGAGAGGGCCATTTAAATTCTCAACTGTCATTCAAAAGGCCCAGGGGTCTTTTCTGAGACTGATGCTAGTAAAGGCATTACACAGTAAGCCTATAGCCAACATGAAAGAAAACAGAGAGAAACTTAAAGCAATCCCACTGAAATCATGGACAGGGTAAGGTGGTCCACTCTCTCTGCATTTCTTCATCATAGTTCTTGAAGTCCTTGCTAAAGGAATAAGATAAGTAAAGGAGATCAAGGGCATACAAATTGGAAAGGAAGAAGTCAAAGAATCACTATTTGCAGATGATATGTTAGTGTACATGAATGACCACAAAAGTTTTACAAGAGAACTTCTACAGCAGATAAACACCTTCAGCAAAGTGCATGGATACAAAATTAATTTAAAAAAAATCAGTAGCCCTCCTGTATGCAAAAGAAAAAAGAGCTGAGAAAGAATTAGGGAAATAACACCCTTCACAATAACCACAAAGGACATAAAGTACCTTGGTGTGACTCTAAATAAGCAAGTCAAAGACTTGTATAAAAAAAAGTTCTAGTCTCTGAAGAGAGAAATAGAAGAAGATATCAGAAGATGGAAAGATCTCCCATGCTCAAAGCTTAGCAGGATTAATATAGTAAAAAAGGGGACTGATACTCCAACCAAGGACCATGCATGGAGATAACCTGGAACCCCTGCACAGATATAGCCTGTGGCAGTTCAGTCTCCAAGTGGGTTAATTAGTAAGGGGAACAGGGATTGTCTGACATGAACTCAGTGGCTGGCTCTTTGATAACCTCCCCCTTAGCAGGTAGCAGCCTTACCAGGCCATAGAGGAAGACATTGCAGCCAGTCCTGATGAGACCTGAAAGGCTAGCTAGGGTCAGATGGAAGGGGAAGACGACCTCCCTTACAAGTGGACTTGGAGAAGGGCATAGGGGGAGATGAGGGAGTAATGTGTGATAGGGGGAAAATGAGGGAGGGGGCTGCAGCTGGGATACAAGTGAATAAACTGTAATTAATATAAAAAAGTTCCCTTTTGATTAACTTAAAAAAAGATAATTAAAAAAATGTTTCAGGGCTGCCTTGCAAAATATTTTTCGAAGAAATACATAAAGGAAAGACAGATGTGAGTACTGCTCTTATAATAACCTCTGTGTATCATAAAATATGAAACACCCAGCTTTGCTTATAACTAGAGAGAATGAAAATCGTAAGATTCAAGAAAGGAATATGAAAATAAGAAAGAGTCTAACAGAACCTGCTATGAAAACAGTTTCAGATGGCTCACTTCATAAAGCACACTACAAAGTAATTTTCTGGAGATTAAATTTAAATCTTTGAACATTTATGAACATAACAAATTTTCTAGTGGAAAAACCCCTCTATAATCATCTACATTAGTTTATTTGCTGTGATCCAGTATCAGTCACATAGTAAGTCTGTGTTAGACATGTGGACCATTCTCCATTTTACAAGATTTGTCTACAAACAATAGTGGTTAAACAAAAGTAAACCCACTCCTATCCACTACACCTGAGAGGAGAGTGAAAACACCTTCCAAGTACAATCTCATGTTTTGAAGAAACTGAGGTCAAAAGACTCATCTGTTTTCTTGGAGTGGTTCTTAAGAATCACTAAGAATTCTTCTTCTGTGAATTCATTCCTGATATCACCCTCTTTATAATTATTTTAGATAAAGAATTTCTAGAGTGATTTTGACTTGAGAGGTAAATAAACCTAATGGTCGTTTGATGTGTGAGTATCCACACATGCACAGGTCTAAGAAGCTAGAATCACTAGAAAGAGATTCTCAGGTGACATAGGGCTCTATGTGAATCATAGACTGACTTCTTCCTTGGGGTTTATGGTCTTTATTTGGCCCAAGATGGGACACAATTATATAAAATATAAATTATTAGTAATGGGCCACTGCTTTCTTCAATTGAATTATGACACCATGTCTATGTAGTATATATGTTCATGTGTCATGAACTATCTCATTTGTCTAAACAACCCTGCTTGGAAAATGAGGATTGCATTCAACCAGTCTGAATGTAAAAATGAACAGAGAAACTGCTGACACACTCTTCATCTCCATCTTTAAAGGATCTCATTACTCAACTCTTTTGATTTCCTCATCAATACCAGGGGAAGTATTTAACTATGTTATGTTTAAAATAAAAAAGTTACATATTTAAAGTTATTTTTTTGAAATTACTTTTTGTTTTGTTTTATTTTTATATTTTTTGTTTAGATGTTTACTATTAATCTGAATCATAGCTCCCTGTCGCCTCCCTGTCCTCCCCTCACACCTTTCTCTCCCTCTCTTGCCCCTCAAAATAGTGGAGGCCTTCCCTGCACAAACCCACTTCAGCACACGCAGTCTCATTAGGACTGTGTATTTCCTCTTTCACAGTGTCCTGGTTACACAGCCATGCCAGGGTGAAGTGATCAAAAGTCATGCAACAAAGACCTTGTCAGAGACATCCCCCATCCCTTTTCTGGGGCACACACATGGAGGCTAAGCTGACCATTGTGTATATACATGTAGAGTGTCTAAGTCTAGTCCATGCCTGGTCCTTGGTTGGTGTTTCAGTCTCCACAAGTCATGTTGGGAGCAGGTTCATTGGAACTGTTGTTCCTCTTGTAGAGCTCCTGTTCCCTCTGGGTCATTCTATCCTTCTCCGCATTCTTCTACAAGGCTCCCTATATCATTTCTACCTTCCCACTCTTCTCTCCAAACTCTCTTGTACCGTGCCCCTTGCTCTCTTTAAAGTTCATTGCATCTTTTTCATTAACTGCTGGTACATACATAAAAGTACCTATACATGCATTTATATTCCTAAATATAACTTGCTCAGTCTGGAAAATGTTAAATTTGGCTCCAGAAATCAAGATAATCTCATATTTAACAGGTTCTTTGGAGATTTGATGGCAAAAAACCAGCCAACTTAGGACCCAATACTAGAGTCTACAAGTGGCTCCCCCAGAATGATCTTCTTGGTAAGACTCTGGAAAACAATGTTGAGTCATGACTGACTTTCTCTATACCCATCCTGGTTGACTTCAAAAGTCTTCATATTACATTTAGAGATGGTACTGTTTATTTAAAGATAACAGTTCTGTTATGCATCTGGTCTTTTGTTAACACTCATTTTCTCTTATCTCCTATGTACTGTATGTGTTTAACTATATACTTTATGTGTTCAGTATTACATAGTTCAAGTCTCAAGTCACATTCAAATCTGCAAAACGGTCTCTGTATATTTAACTTCTTCTTGCTCTGAGAAAGAAAAATATTTCAGTGATGTTTGAGTATAAAAATCTTCATGTAGAAAAATCTCCTTTGAGCTCCTCATAGTATTCATTTCTTTTCTCATGTCTAAGACAGCTAATTAATGTTAACCTGAATTCATCTCATTCTAGGACACCCCAAAACCAAAGCCTTCATAACTCACGGTGGAGCCAATGGCGTCTATGAGGCAATCCACCATGGAATCCCCATGATTGGCATTCCTCTGTTTGGAGAACAACATGATAACATTGCCCACATGGTGGCCAAAGGAGCAGCTGTTGCATTAAATATCAGAACAATGTCAAAGTCAGATTTGCTCAATGCCCTGGAGGCAGTCATCGACAATCCTTCGTGAGTGTAACTTCCTAAAATGTGTATCCATTACTTCTTTATTCATTGTGCTTCTTACAGAAGGCCAAAGAAGCAAGAATTATCTTGAAGGCAAAAACAATGATAGGTGCAGAGACAAATTAGAACATGATTCAGTGCCATGATTTTTTTCTTCTTTCTTCTTGTTCTTTATTTCCATGTTTTCCTTTATGTTTCCTTGCAATGTGTATCAGGCTGGTCCAAAATGTAAAACTTTTCTGCTTCATCCTCCAGACTGCTAGACCAACAGGCATATGCCACCAGCACTAACCAATTTTTCTTTTCAGTTCTTTTAGTAAGGCAATTGGTTAGCATTTTAAGGATAGTATAGAACTTATATAGCAAATAAACGAAGTAAATAAAATGTCAGGTACCAACCAGATCTATTGCACACAGAAGCCATAGGATAACATTACCACAATCAAGCTTAAATGTTATAAAAGAGATATGTAAGTTTTATGGCAGTTACAATATTCAGCACAAAAATACAATTGATATTAACATAAAAGTAAAGCATATGGTTGGATGTTTAAATATGCAACCTAATATATTAAGATAAATTGAAATAGTGAAAACATAAGAGTGAAATAAAGAATATGTCCATCATCATTTCTTTAATGAAAAAAAATACAACTTGGAGGTACTTTCCTGGAAAAAGTTATTTCTCTACAACTCTCACCGTTCCTTAGGTGCCTATAATAATATTGTGTAGAGTTTGGCCTAGGGTGAGATTTATTCCTGTTTATATTAGCTTGACTACTGACGTCATCCTTATTCAGCTCTTATTTAGGCAACCATATTATTGAGACCTCATCAGTGTAGCTTTCCTCAAAGATGCAACTTCACAGCAACTATCCTTGCCCTCCACTTCTTATAATGTTCCAATCCTCCATTCTATGATTTACCATGAAAGCTAGATTTCAGGTAAGGTGCTTTGAAGTCAGTTACCGCTCAGAGGTCTCTGGTTTCTGATGTGCATGCTCTTTCATCAATAGAAACTTACTTTCTACCTCTGGAGAATAATTAAGGGCAACGTCAAGTCTGTATGTTTTTAAGTTTTTAAGGACTGTCTCTTTGACAGTCCTGGCCAAAACCTCAAAACAGGGCTTTTCATGTCTGGCATTGGGGTTTATGTTAGGTAGTCCTTGGCTCTTGAAGAGAGTACCATCAGTTCAGGTAAGAATAGTTTATTACAAGAAAATCATGAAATTTGCAGGAGGCAAATGGCAGGAACTAGAAAAGATCATCCAGAATGAAGTATCCCAGAAGCAGAAAGACAGACATGGTGTATACTCACCTATAAGTACATATTAGACATATACTAGAGGGTAAATACACTAAAATCTATACTCCTGAAGAAGCTAAACAAGAAGGAACACCCTAGGAAAGATGTTCAGTCCTCATTCAGAAAGATAAATGCAATAGCATTGGAAGCAGGAGAACACAGGGAATAGGACAGGAGCCTACCTCAGTCAGCCACTGAAAGATGCTACTTATTGAGGTATGGAAGCTGATGCTGAGACCCATATCCAAACTTTGGGCAGAGTGCAGGGAATCTTATGAAAGAAGTGGAGATAGAAAGACCTGGAGGGGGCGGGAGCTCCAAAAGGAGACCAACAGAGCCAAAAACACATGAGCCCTAGGTACCCTGCAGAGACTGATACTCCAAACTAGGACAATGCATGGAGAAGACTTTAAACACCAGCTCAGATGTAGTCCAGAGATGCAGTCTACAAGTGGGGTCCCTAGTAAGGAGATCAGGGGCTTTCTCTGGCATGAACTCAGAGACAGACTCTCTGATCACCTCCCCCTGGAGGGTGCAGCCTTGCCAGGCCACAGAGGAAGACAATGCAACCAGTCCTGATGAGACCTGATAGGTTAGGGTCAAATAGAAAGGAAGGAAGATCTCCCCTATCAGTGGACTAAGGGAGGGGCGTAGGAGTAGAAGAGGGAGGGAGGGTAGGATTGGGAGAAGACGAGGGAGGTGGCCACAGCCGGGATACACATTGAATAAATTGTAATAAATGAAAATAATAATAATAATAATAATAATAATAATAATAAAGAATAGTTTATAGAAACTATATATATGCTTATACATGGAATAGCATATAGAATAGGGAGTTGGATGTAAGTTAATATATTTATTAGTGGCTTTTTTAGACATCTTTATTGTTATTTTATCCATTTTGCTCTTTCTGTATTAACCTCGCTCCCCCTTTTAAAGGACCCACCCCTCTTCCAATTTCCTTTATCAGACTACTGAATACAGCCATTTCTCTTCACCCTCTTCTTTATTTGCCTCCCTATCCCTCTCTAAGGAGCCTCCACTCTTCCCATTCTTCCATCAAAGAAGTTGAATCCTAATTTTAAAATGCTGTAATATGCATACTAAGAAATGAGGATGATATAATAAAAAGCAATACACAAATTTCCAATCAGTCCTTGTAAATAATAGGAGGGTATGTTACCACCATTGCAATTACTTCTTGTGCTACAGCAAACTGATATTTGGGGTTGTTGACTCATGTCTCTGTGTAACCCTTCTTTTTTACATATTCATTAATAATCATTTCAGATATAGAATCAAATGCACTTGTAATGCTTCATTGTGAAATTTTGACCACTTTATTTCTAAAAATCACACTGCTAACAAAAAAGAAGTTAATAAAATAATAGCAGGAAATAGGATCAAGGATGGCTCAGTAGGTAAGAGCAAGGCTTACTCTAGCAGAAGACCACAGCTCAGTTCCCAGTGCCCATGTCTGGCAATATACAAAAACTCCAACTCCTCAAATATCTTACACACACATACATACACACATACACACACTTAAATATAATAGCAAAAGTTTTTTATTCCATTTTACAATTAGAATAATTTATGTAATTCAATAATAATTCTTGTCATTGTAAAAGAGAAGAAATTTAGACTTTCTACTAATTTCACTGAATAATTAGTAACTTTCATGAGAAATATATAAAAGTAATGAAAAGCAGCCATTATATATAATTAATAAGAACCAGGAAATTTTTGTAATTACAGTCTTTAATCGCTGATATGGCATTTCATAAAATTTTCTTTTCAAATCCAACCTCTTATCAACCATTAGAAAGACGTGTGTCATTGTGGAAACTTGGGAGAATTTATTCTTAAACTAGTATATTCTGATGCTAGTATAAAGTTTTCATGAAAAGTTAGTTTTTCATTGTTTACTGGGTTGTTTATCACTCTAGAATGGCAATGGGACCTGGGAGATTGAGGCTGATAAATGAGACAAAATAGTGTCATGCAATTTCCTGCTTTATTTAGAGCATCAGGCAATTTGTTCTCTGAGAGTTAAGAGGAGTCACATGAGCAGTGTGGACAAGCCTTCCCCAGTGAAGTATGTTTTTTTTTTTTTCCATAGAGGCATATAAACAAATGGCAAGAGCCAGTTGTAATGAAAAACCTGACATAAAATCACTCCTGTCTGCTACATCTAAGAGGGACACAAAAGCATAATCCATGAATGAGTCCATGTTTTCTGTTTGTTTGTTTGTTTTTTGTTTTTTTTATCTTGTTTTCTTGGAGTTTTCTCACAAGCACTGAGGAATCACCTCACATGATCTTGGACCATATTATGACACTGGATAACTGAAGTATCATAGACTCAAATAATACCTCACTTTGTTGTTCTGTAAAGTTTTTTTTTTTCCTGGCTCACAATACTTTTATTTTATTTTTACTTACTACAATTTATTCACTTTATAAACCAGCTGTAGCCCCCTCCCTTATCCACTCGCAATCTGACCCTCCCTTCCTCTTCTCCTTCCATGCCTCTCCCAGGGGCCACTGATAGGAGAGGTCTTCCTTCCCATCCTTCTAACCGTCGCCTATCAGGTCTCATCAGGACTGGCTGCATTGTCTTCCTCTGTGGCCTGGTAAGGCTGCTCTCCCATCAGGAGGAGGTGATCAAGGAGCCAGCCACTAAGTTCATGTCAAAGACAAAATCTGTTCCCCTTACTAGGGTACGCACTTGGGACACTGAGCTGCCATGGGCTACATCTGTGCAGGGGTTCTAGGTTACCTCCATGCATGGTCCTTCAACTGTCTCATTTTCGGGACATTTTCTCTTTTCCAGCCTTTCTGAGTATATGCTGCCATATGCTTCTTGTATACTCAAGAAGCTCAGAGATCCCTGATAACATCTTCCTAGGCATGAATTTAAAACAAATAATTTTCCTGCTATTTTGTATAATCATCTTTACTGCCTACACAAAAAACTTGTAAATGTGTATTTTAATTCATTCAGTGAATTGATGCCTATTTTATCTCTTACAGCTATAAAGAGAATGTTATGTGGCTATCAACCATTCACCATGACCAGCCTATGAAGCCACTAGACAGAGCTGTCTTCTGGATTGAGTTTGTCATGCGCCACAAAGGGGCCAAACACCTGAGACCACTCGCCTTTAATCTCACCTGGTACCAGTACCACTCTCTGGATGTGATAGGATTCCTACTCACCTGTGTGGCAGCCATTGCTACCCTTACTGTAAAGGGCTGCTTGTTTGTTTACCGATTCTTTGGAAGGGAGGAAAAGAAAAAGAAGAATGAATAGAGCTCATTGAAAACACACTACATGAACTGAATTTCAGCATCCTTCTAATTTATGAACCACCTTCCAAACATTCATTGATTACTTTATCAAAGCATATCTTCTTTGTAATTTTTATAGCATGTAAGAAGACATATAGCTGTGGCTACTGATATGTGATCAAAGAATGCCATCATTCCTTTTAATTTCTAAACTATGTAATGTAAAACAATCATGCATAGGGTATAAAAAAGGAAAATGAGGAAGTATTTGACAAAGTCTTAAAAATGAAACTATTAACCTACCAGTATTTTAATACTGTTCACTTGATTCATTCTTCAATCTGACTCTAGAGATTTCTAAAATAAAAAAGCACTAAATTTAAGTACTCACATATAAATATGGTTTTCCTGTAAAAGTCTTCATTTTTATAGTCTTGGGGATAGTGTGGTTTATTTTAGAAATACATTTTAAATGGTAGGGATTTGTACGCTCCATAGAAATTATTAGCAAATATCAAATGATCAAAATTTCATTCTAAAATAGAATATAAAATTCAGTCATCTACTTCATAGACTATAATTTTTCTGAGTTAATATCTATATAGAATGGGTTGACTATTAAAATATGTAAAATTGTGACATACTAAAACAAGGTTTTCTCCAATATTTTCATATGAAATTTAGAGCATTTTAAATCATACACTCCAGTTATCAAATGTTGATAAAGAACAGAGTTCTGCAATCTAGTGGAGAAGCAATATTTCAAGGCCTTTATTCAAGAGTTTGCAAAGAAAACATCTGAAGCTGAAAGATTAAGTAAAAACAGGGTTGGAAAATGAATTACCTACTCTTTTGTTGCTGTATCAAAATATACTGCAGTACCCACACACCTATGAATACTTGAATTTTGACAAAGAAGCCAAAACCATTTAATGGAAAAAAGACAGCATCTTCAACAAATGGTTCTGGACCAACTGGATGTCTACATGCAGAAAAATGAAAATAGATACATATTTTTTACCCTGCATAAAACTAAAATCCAAGTGTGGATCAAAGACCTCAACATGAAATCAGATACTCTAAATCGGTTAGAAGAAAAAGTGGGGAAGAGCCTAGAACTCATTGGCATAGGAGACAACTTCCTGAACAGAACACCAACAGCACAGACTCTAAGAGCAACAATCAATAAATGGGACCTCATGAAACTGAAAAGCTTCTGTAAGCAAAAGATACTGTCATCAGAACAAAATGACAGCCTACAGACTGGGAAAGGACCTTCACCAACTCTATATCTGACAGAGGGATGATATCCAGAATAGATAAAGAACTAAAGAAGTTAAAAAAGCAATAAATCAAGCAATCCAATTTAAAAATGTGGTACAGAGCTAAACAGAGAATTCTTTATAGAGGAATATAGAATGGAAGAGAAACACTTAAAGAGATGCTCAACATCCTTAGCCATCAGGGAGATGCAAATCAAAACAACACTGAGATTTCACCTTACACCCATTAAAATGACTAAAATAAAAAACTCAAATAACAACACAAGATGGATAGGTTGTGGAGAAAGGGGAACCCTGGTAGGACTGTAAACTTGAACAATCACTTTGGAAATCAATCTGGCACTTTCTCAGACAGTTAAGAATGCTGCTTCCTCAAGATCCAGCTATAACACTCCTAGGCATGTATCCAAAAGATACTCAAGTACACAACAAGAAAATTTGTTCAACCATGTTTGTAGCAGCTTTATTCATAATAGCCAGAACCTGGAAACAACCCAGATGTCCATCAATGGAGGAATGGATACAGAAATTGTGGTACCTTTACACAATGGAATACTACTCAGCAATTAAAAACAAGGAAATCATGAAATTTGCAGGCAAATGGTGGGATTTACAAAAGATCATTCTGGGTGAGGTATCCCAGAAGGAGAAAGACACACATGGTATATAATCACTTATATAGACCTATAAGATATGGTAAACATACTGAAATCTATACACCTAAAGAAGATAAAAAAAGGAGGACCTGGGGTAAGATGATCAATCCTCACTTAGAAAGAAAATGGGATGGTCATTGGAAGTAGGAGAAAACAGGTAACAGGAGAGGAGTCTACCGCAGAGGGCCTCTGAAAGACTCTACCTAGCAGTGTATCAATGCAGATGTCCAGACTTATAACCAAACCTTTGGCAGAATGCAGGGACTCATATGAAAGAAGGGGGAGTTAATATGACCTGGAGAGGACAGGAGCTCCACAAGGATCTAATATATGAGGGCACAGGGGTCTTTTATGAGACTGTTTCTCCAACCAAGGACCATGTATGGATATAACCTAGAACCTCTGCTCAGATGTAGCCCATGGTAGATCAGTATCCAAACGAGTTCCCTAGTAAGGGGAACAGGGACTGTTTCTGACATGAACCCATTGGCAGGCTCTTTGATTCCCCTGCCCCCCTAAGGGAGGGAAGCCTTGCTAGGCCACAGAGGAGGACTTTGCAGCCAGTCTGAAGATACCTGATAAGCCAGGGTCTGATGGAAAGGGAGGAGGACCTCCCCTATCTGTGGACTTGGAAAGGGGCAAGGAGGAGATGAGGGAGGGAGGGTAAAATTGGGATGAGGAAGAGGGCTACAACTGGGATACAAAGTTAATAAGCTGTAACTAATATTAAAAGAAAATTAAAAAAATTAAAAATAATATACTGCAGCTCAAGGCAAAAACAAAACAGTTTATTTTGAATTCTGGTTAAAGTCATTAGAATGCATGGTAGGTGAGCAGGCAAGGCTGTAGGGAGCAGAAGGATTCTCCCTGATCACAAATAAGTAGCAGAGACAATAGTAGAAAGTGGGCCAAGCTGCAGATTTGCAGAACTTCTTCCAGTGATTCACTTCCTCCAGCAAGATTTAAATTCCTTAGTACTCTAAAACCTCAAACAGCACCACCAATTTAGGAAAAGGGGTTCAGCTATATCAGTTTATCAGAGACATTTTTCATTCAAACCATAGCAGGAAATAACCTTGTTTCTAAAGTCTCATTTCTTAGCATCCCATAGGTTCTTAGCATTCTGTTACTCTATCTGTAAGTCTATCACAGCACCACAGAACACTTGCACTTCTTCAGTGTAAGTTAACTGTGATCATGAAGCTTGATATATGTTTGAAATGAAGTACATGAGCAAGGGATACTGACTAGCAGCCACACTGGTGGTCATTCATGAGAGGATCTGTTGTGATTTGAGAACTGTTATAAGAGAGCTATGTAACATTTATGGCAGTTATCTTTCAGCATCAAAATTCAAAAGATATTAACATAAAAATAAGTGTCTGGTTGGATGTATAAATATGCAACCTAATATTTTAGGATAAATTCAAATAGTGAAAACAGAGTGAAGCAATGAATTCGTCCATCATCAGTTTTCTTTTATTTAAAGAAATTCCAATTGGGAGGTACTTGCCTTGGAAAGACTGTATCCCACTCTCAGCTTCCCTGAACTGCCTATGATAAAGTTGGGGTCAGGATGAGATTTACCCCTTTCCATATTAGCATGACTATTGGTGTCATCCTTATTCAAAGCTTCTTTAGGCACCCATGCTTTAGAGGCTACTTGGGTGTAGCTTTCCTGATATTTCTCAAACACGAAACTTCACAGCTGATGTCTTGGCCCTCTGGCTTTTATACTCTTATACTCTCAGATTTGGGCTTTCAGGGACAAATGTGAGTATAGGAGATCTTTCAGCTCTCTGGTGTCCACTATTTTGGCAGTTGGCAGGGAGACCTTAAATTCAGGTAACCACTACAGTTGTCTCAGTCACTGAGCATGGAGGCTCCTGTTTGGGATAGCTGACATCACAGGCACAGACATGGGAGGCTGGTATAGCCGCCCACTCGAAGGCCCTCAGATGCCTCTAGAGCTGCCCACTGCCTCTGCAGACCTATGAGGGCAGTGCAGCTGCCCACTGCTGCCACAGAACTGGAAGGCCCGCCTCTGCTGTCTTAGTTACTGAGCAGAGAGGCCCATGTGTGGAGCAGTGGGTACTGAGAGCCATCTCAGCCACAGAGGGAGGCTCATGGTTGGGTGCAGGGGGTTGAATATTTACCACTCTTAGTCTTCAGAGATGTCTGTGAGGTGACCTGGATCCAAATGGCGTCAGCTCACGGGTTGTTCCCTCTCACCCAGGAAGCCTCAATGTGAATGTTCTGGCTTCAGCTGCCTCTCTACTCACCAATTTCAGAATTTCAGATCCTGTGCCCCTCAGATATGATGCACGCTGGTAGCCGCCATCTTGGATCTCTCCCATACTTTGATCTTTGAATATAAGTCCTTAGGAGTCTGTTTGATACAACTATTATTTATTAAAATATAGCAATAGATTCTCACTCACCTTGTGAATCCTGACTGACCACATATTCCTGACCCAACATTGGTGTCAGATAAGAGCTTCCCTTGTGGATCAAAAGAAGGGCTAGTTCCTAAGAACCAAGCACTCCAGGTGTTAAACAATGACATCTTTTACCGTAAAAGTCATACATCTCTTTGCTAAAATTAGATTTTTAAGTAAAATTATATTACATAGCTCCAATAAAAAAGTTGAATGTGAAATATACTTTCAAACAGCTAAGTGAACTGACCTGTGGTATTTGCTTATTTAGTATACTCATTTAAATATTGGAGTGTGGCAAGTTGCTTGTTTGTCAAGTTTTGTCAAGCTACTTTGTTATTAAGTTTTCAGTGTAAAACATGTTTTTACCTTCTTCCCTCATCTCCTCTCTACTCCTTTCCAAGTCCACTGATAGGGGAGGTCTTCCTCCCCTTCCATCTGACTCTAGCTTATCAGGTATCTTACGATTGGCTGCAATGTCCTCCTCTGTTGCCTAGCAAGGCTGCTCCTCCCTCGGTGGGGGGGAATTCAAAGCACCAGCTATTGAGTTCATGTTAGAAATAGTCCCTGTTCCCCTTACTAGGGTACCCACTTGTATACTGATTTATCATGGGCTACATCCGAGCAGGGGTTCTAGGTTATATCCATACATGGTCCTTGGTTGGAGGTACAATCATGGAATATTACTCAGCAATTAAAAACAAGGAAATCATGAAATTTGCAGGCAAATGGTGAAATCTAGAAAAGATCATCCTGAGTGAGGTATCCCAGGAGCAGAAAGACGCACCGTATATACTCATATATAAGTGGGTACTAGACCTATAAGGTAGGATAAACATACTAAAATCTGTACACCTAAAGAAGATAAACAAAAAAGAGGACCTGGGGTAAAATGATCAATCTTCACTTAGAAAGACAAATGAGATGGACATTGGAAGTAGGAGAGGACAGGTAACAGAACAGAAGCCTACGAGACAGGGCCTCTGAAAGACTCTACCTAGCAGTGTATCAAAGCAGATGCTGAGACTCATAACCAAACCTTCGGCAGAGTGCAGGGAATCATATGAAATAAGGGGGAGTCAGTATGACCCGGAAAGGACAGGAACTCCACAAGGTCCTAATATATCAGGGCACAGGGGTCTTTTCTGAGACTGTTTCTCTAACCAATGACCATGTATGGATAAAACCTAGAACCTCTGCTTGAACGTAGTCCATGGTAGGTCAGTATCTAAACAGGTTCCCTAGTAAAGGGAACAGGGACTATTTCTGACCTGAACTCAATGGCTGGCACTTTGACCTCCCCCACCCCACCTCCGAGGGAGGAGGCTCTAAATAAATTTTAATAAATGTATAAATAAAGTTAAATTAAAAAAAAAGGGAATGTGGAATAAACCAAGTACTACAGTTTCTATTGATAGTCCTCCTGAGTAGATCCCTTGTGTGTTGTGTGTTGTTTTCTTTTAATTCTCACTCCCCATTCAGGAACTGTTTGACTCTACTGGCAGGCTCCTGCACTGGAGTATTACTGTCAAAGACAACGGTTTTCAGGTAAAGTGGATTACACTGAATTGTTTTGATAGTGTGCAGTCACCAGGCTGAACAGCTTTGAGAAGAAAATTCTGTTTTTTTCTTAATAAAAATAAATAAAAATGAAGAACAACTGTCCTCAACATAGATATATCACACTATGCCCTGAAGCAGTCTTTCCATTTCTCGAAAAACACTATCTAGTAATGTCTGAATTATCGATATCACAATAAAACAGTCCTGTTCAATTAATTTATAATTTTGTCCTACTCATGAGCATTCATAATGTCCAACCAGGATTAAAGAACGAGATGCATGGATTCATCCAACAAACAAACAAACAAACAAACAAACCATTCAGTAAGCATCTCATTGTTCTATGAAGTGGAGATACAAAATGAGTAAAACAGGTCTCTGTCCAAGATGAACTTAATAAAGGGTGGGTGTAAGCTGTCACTGAAGATGCAAATGAGTGCTAATGCTCTGACATGACTGCCATTTGAGTCTGTATTCATGATCTTTAGCATTCCTGGACTTTTACTAACTTGAGTAGAGAAATGAAATCTTAAGTGGGTCACGTCATAGAACCTCCCTATTACTGGAATTTAAAGAAGGAGCAAGTAGAAATAATTGTGCTGAATGGAAGAACGCCCCTGCTTGGAGGAGGTTAGCCTTCATCACAGGTGTTCAGGAAATAAACAATGGGAGGTCTGTTTACTGTAAAATAACCAGAAACAATGGCTTTCCTTAGACAGGCAGAAGAGTGAAGAGTGAGTCTATTTCAAAAGCATGGCATCCAAACACTATTACTTAGGAGTAGCTAAAAAAAAAAAGATAAGTATTTCACCAAATGAAGTCAAGGCACATTGGGTGTTTATAAAGGTAAGTGATACTTAGAGGGGCCTTTTCCAAGGCTTAATGCCCATGTGAATTTTGGAAACTACGGTTAAGCTCAGTGAGTGTTGGGGATAATAGCTCCTCAATTATATCAAAACATTCCAAAGCAAACACATGATTTTGTTTTTATAACCTCAAGCGTATATTTGACATGAAAATTTGCCTGTTTAAACATATAGTGAATCTGGGAGAGCAATCTTGAAAGAATCCTGGCACTGTCTTGGTTCAGAGGGAAAAAAAAATCCGACAAGAAAACCTTTTCTTGCTGGAAACAACTGGCAGAGGCTCATCTCTCAGAACTCTCTACTTCAGGCTTCAATGCAGCTATTCTTTTTTCTTCTTTTTACCCAGGTTAGCAGTCTTGTGGCAAGAAAAGAGGCAAAATTTTGTGATGATGAATACCACAGCTACCACACAGACCACCAGAAACCCAATCACATCCAGAGAGTGGTACTGGAACCAGCTGAGGTCATGGAGAGCTGGGCGAAGGTGCTTGGCTCCTTTGTTGCGCATGACATACTCAATCCAGAAGACAGCTCTGTCCAGGGGCTTCACTGGCTGATCCTGTTGGATTCTTGACAGTCCCATGGCATTCTCTTTATAGCTGAAGAAACAATGCATACAATCAAAATTAAAGATAAGTGAATTTGCAGACTTACCTAACATTTGGTGGTTTGGAAAAAAGCTCTACAAATGATTCAGTATTAACCACATAGATTTCCACACAAATGCTGTGTTGTGTAAGGTGGCAGAGAATACAGATTTGTGGCAGAGAGGACAATAAAATATTTTTTGTGCAGCACAATTTTTTTTCTGGACTTGGTGTGTAGCTGACACTGACCTTGTGCTACTTAATGAACTCCTGCATCCACATCCAACCAGTTTAGCAGCACACACCAGCACCTCAGTTACATGTCATGGCTGTTTTTGCTTTATTCCCCACAGGACGTTTTGTTTTTTGTAATTGAAAATTTTGCAGTTGAACAATATTTTTAAAATTGGTAAGGTAGTATATACATATACATATATATATATATGTATATATATGAAGAATATATAATGCATGATTTAAGACCAATAAGTGAAGTAGACACAGAATTGTCTTAAGCTTTACAGGGACCATGTATCATGGTGGATATCTGCTTTCCAGTTTCAGTTTCTCTTCTTCTCTTCTACCTCTTTTTCCTAATTTTTATCTATAACTAGATACTTGTTGAAAATGAAATGAAAATACTGGTTATATTATGTTTGTCCCTTGCACAGAACTTCCATCAGAATTCTCACCACAATGAAAGAAAATCCAATTCTGTTTCTAGCCTAGAAGACTGTGTATGTGAGAACCAGCAGCATTGTCTCTTGTTATTCTGAGTCTGGACAATCTGATTAGATACATTTGTCTTCTGGTAAGACTTGAAGCTGCCAATGGTTTTCCTCTGGGTTTGGTATAAATTTAATTTTGTCTGTCTCTCATTTTTTGACTGCTATCTATGCAACACTGTAGCTTTTATCTCATTGTCCAGGCCTTAACATAAGTATCTACGAACATAGGCTCTTTGGTTGACACCATTG